CCTTTGTCTATATGCTTCTGGAACCAACTCATAAGCTTGTAAGACAGCAGCTTTAACCAGATCGTAATCTAAACTATCCTTTAAAGGAAGCGCTGCCAACACCTCTTGAGCTTTACCAGAAAACTTACACTGTAACAAAAGAGGCCAGGTTTCCCTAGGCCATTGTAAAGCACCAGCAACGCGCTCAAATGCTGCAAAGTATGAGTCAACCTCAGATTCTCTGAAAGCAGGTACTAACGAAATACACTTACTAATATCGAATGGCATCGCAGACATGGAGGTGGAACCTGGTGTGACAGAGGCAGGGGGTGCTCGAGTCTGGGCCTCCAGCTCAAGCTTGCGCAGCTGTATAGCCTTATCAGCCTCTATTTCCAGCCTCCTGATCTCTAGCTCCAGTTGAGCTCTCCTGTCCTGGGCTTTTTCCTCTGCCTCCATCTGGAGACGTGCCAACCTCACCTTCAAACGCGCTCCATCTCGTCCTTCTGAGCTCACAGAAGACAGTGGGTCATAGCGAGGAAGTGTACGAGGTGTCTTTCCCCGGTCACTCACTGCTGCCTCCACACTAGGAACATCTTTGAGATCCTTCTCAAACAAGGCCTGTTGGCTTGGCACTGCAGCAGCCTCAGGGAGATCAGGCCCTTTAATCACACCAATCCCCACCAACCTATCCAGTACAAGAGCCTTTAGGTCCCCTTTAAGGACCTGTTTTGGGACCTGCAACTTAAAATGCTCCACAATTTGCAGCAATTCACACTTGCGGCAGCTATCTATAAGCTCAAGAGAAGGGTCGGCTAAAAAGCGCTCCAGACTGAATGGAACTGACATGGTTCCTGGATACAGCCAACTCAAAATGTCCCCCTTAAATCTGGAAAAAGGGATCCTAAGAGGATCCCGGACAAGCCCCCAATTATGTTACGCCCCCAAGGTCTAGGGGTCTTGGGGAAGCAACATAAATAATGTCTGGAGTAGTTCAGGGGAAGTTTAAAATTATTTATTACAAAAAAGATGGTTAAACAGCCCCAAAACACAATATAGCTTAACTCAGTTAAAACAAAACAACAAAAAAGGTAAGGGCAAACAAATTCAAGATTGGCTGAGAGCAAATAAAATTACAAACTGCCCAAAAACAGTCAGACTAAGTTTTAACACAAAAACAAACCAAATGAAAAGACAAAGGGAGCACCAAACCTCCCAAACACAAGCTACTAGCTTGAACAAGTCCACCTAAAGCAGACTAAGCAAAGTACATACAAAGCCAGGGCAAAGAGCTCTTTCATCCCAAAAACAGATGCAAAACAAGATGGGGGAACAGCTTAACAAAACCCTCCTAATAGCTGTCCCCAAACTGAAAGCTTTTCAGGAGCCTTTTATAAGGTGCAGGTGGGCCTCATCAGCACACTGATTGGCTTGACACTCTTCTGCTGCTCCAATCATGTCACTGCAGTCCTCAGGCAGCCACCAAGGGAGTTCTGTCAGAGCTGAACCTGCATAAGAAAAGGCCTGCACAGTCTTAAAAGGCCAGGGGCCGTAACAATGTATATATATATAGGGGAGTCGTGGGTACTTGTTGATGGCATTAAAATAATTTCTAAGAGCATAAAAAGAACATTAAAAAGCATTAAATTAGAGTTACTAGAGTTAAAAGTTAACTAGGGCGCTGTAAAAAGTTTAAACACAGATTGTTGTTGGAAATAAGAATTATCCGTTAGACCAGTTGTGTTTGGATTTTAACGGCAGTTTTGGTCCATTGCAAGAACCTCTGTGGTAGAAAAATCCTAACAAATTGTAACGTCAATACTTTTATGATAACTTTGGTCAAATTATGTCTCACTCGCAGACATCTTTTTTTTTTCTTTCATATTCCACTAAAATCCTTCATAGGCATATTTTCCAAACCAATCATGACGGGTTGCTAACGACGGGAACAGATGTGGATCTCAGTTGAGATCGGACCGGGGGAAATTGGCTCATGAAAGGTGGTTAACTTCAGTCTGTGCCTGTGAACAAGAGAGCAGAAACTCTGCTGTGCTGAGTATTTTCTCAATTTGCCAATGTCAAGTGTGCAGCGGAGTGTTCCTCCAGAGAGGATGTTTCCCTTACTGATTCTCTTGTCGAGCATCGTGACTACAAAGGAAGCAGGAAATGGATACAAACTGTGTAAATAGCTGACAGCAGAAGTATTCAAACTCTACAGAGGGGGGAAATGAGGAGGGGGAGATGTTGAGTTGGGTTTTTGGAAATATGCAGGGTACAACTGATGTGGGGGGGTGATGAGAGCAGAGTGAATGACAGAAACATGCACAGGAATCCTTGAAGTTAATGAAGACAGTGAAATTCCAGACACAGCCAAGGGCGGAGGGGTGCAGACGAGGAGTGAAAGCTCATTTTAGGAAGCCACCTGGTATAAATCACACAACCCAAATGCTAATGCCGAAGCCCCCGCTTCGGAGAAGACTGATAGGAGAGCTGTCATTGATTTATTCACGCCTTCATGATACGGCACGCGGGCGCTGGTATACGGCGAGCTATCTTTGGCTCACATCAGAGACACTGATGAGGCCCGAGGAATGATGTGGTTCAGTTCAGGCGGAAAATTCTTCAGACATGTTTTGTTCAATTCTACTTATGTAAACAAATAACTAATCTTAATTTTTCTTGTGAAATATGTGGGTTTACTTTTGTTCTTGATTTGCTTTTTAGTGAATGTAAAATAAGTTCCATCCATTCTTGATGCATTAACTACATACATTTCTGTGTAAAAAAAAAAGAAAAACAACAGCTTTCTTTTTGTATGAAGGTAAAGCATCCCCGAATCATGACCCTTCTACCTCCATTCCAACAAAGTTAACAAAGTAAAAAAAACTAAAAACATTTCTTATAGAGTTGATTCCTTCCTACTATCATCTCAAACCTCTTCACCATGCAGGGGACCAAAACATATTGCTTTCTCAGCCAGACCAACAATGACCCTAACAACTCCCTCCTTTCAGAGGCATATGCAAGTATCGGGTATTGCAGGCCAACAACGACCTCAACAACTGCCTATTACTAAGGGGTGGACCTGTTTTTTCTGTTCAATATGCATGGTTTCTAAGCCATAACAAGGCTTTTGTTTGTTCCGCTCTATAAGCCTGGAACTCAAACGTTACTGAAGACATTTTGAATTGAGAAATCTTCCTGGATGGGAAGCGAATCGTCTTCAAACTTGGAAAACAAGGTCCAGTAGTTTATTTTTACTTTTTTTTTTACTTTTTTTACTTTGTTGAAGCGACTATGACCTGGACGACTGAGAATCTTCACCCATGCTCCTACCTCCATGCTTTACAGGCTTTTTAAATTTATTTTTGGATTCATATATTTCATATAATATTTTATTGCAAACGTATCTCGTTATCTGCTGTCTAAGGGTTCAGTTCTAAATTAATCCATACATTAAAAGATAAAGTATTGCAGAAATTCTGATCTTTATGTTTTTATTTTTTCAAGAGGGCAAAGCTTTCCTTCTTGCACGCCTTCCCCTGAATCTAAACTAAGAACTTTCATATCTAAAATAGCAAGAGGCTTGTGTAAGTTCACAATGACTTTTTATCTTGCAGTCTGCTTTCAGGATGAGCAAGACTTTTACATTTTGGCATTTTTTTAAAACATCCTCCACTTGTTGATTTCTTTTTTCCTACATTCCCATAGCTGTTATTTCCTGCTAAAAAACTTTTTCACACAAGTTAAACCATTTAAATTGTTCGTAAAGTATGTGTTCTTTTTTTACTCCAGACAAGGAACTCTTTCTTAAAATTTTGTTGAAATCATAGTAGAAGTCATTCAAAATGTCCCCACTTTCCTTGATGGGCCCTTGGCTGGACCCCTACAATTCCCTTTGAAACATCAATCTTTGTACTAAAATATTCTGTCTCTCGTGATTTGTGGACAGATCTAAAGAGAAACGTCCTGGTCAGACACTGTAATCCAGTGAAAGGAGAGAGTAAAAAATTATGCACGCCCACACTCCAGTGGCTGGATGTTGGAGGTGATTTTGCTGGGAGTTGCAGGGAAGTTGGCCATTCGGCTGGCATTTGTTAGGGAAGGCCCATTTTGAATGGTAAATGAGATAGTTTGCCAATCGAATGAGTAATTTTACTCTTAAAATAAGATAATTAGATAATATGCACTTGAAATAAGACAATGCAATTGTGTTTTCTTATTTCAAGTGTAAATTGTCTTGTTCCATTGGCAAAATGTCTCTTTTACCTCCTCAATTCAAGAACAAATGCACTTATTTTAAGAAAAAATTACTTATCTAGATTTAGATTTTTTGCAGTGTATTTACAGTATACTCACTCTAAACTACCTTAAAATTTTAAACTTTTGCCTCATGGTATACAATCTAGACTAGGCATCTCCTACCTGTAGCTGAAGGGTCGTAAGTGGCTCTGTATTCCTCCTACAATGGCCTTTGATAGCTCGATTATAAAATCAAATAGTTTAAAACATTTAATGAAAGTTTCAGTATAGTTTATTTTTTTCAGGTGATAAGTACTCAATTACCAGGAGGAAAGACAGTAAAAGTACAGCTGTAATTTTTTATTGCCATTAGTTTGGAAGATTATTTTTTCATAAATGGCAAAAAAAACATCCCATGAAAATATATTGATCCCCCCTTTTTTTCAAAAAGTCTTGTTTTTTTCCTTAAAAAAACAAAAAGAAGAAAAAACATAAAATACCCAAAATTTTGGTTCTCTGAAAGTAACATTAAAGACCTTATAATAAATATTTAACAAAACCACAACTTTTCATGTTTATTTAGCTCAGTTGCGACTCTAAACAAGTTTTAAGTAGCTGGACTGAATGCAAATATGTTTTTTTTATTGTAGAGGTTGCAGACCCCTGATGTAGACAAACAAAAAAAACCAAAAGCTTAGATTTAAAAACATTTCTGACATCTTGAACTATTAAAAGATAAAAACTAAAAAGCAGTTAAATATGTTTCTTGTTTGAATTCACAGAGAAGCTGTCGTTCCGGAATGTTATATCGCCTCAGGAGTTCAAACACGGTGAGACGGCGGAGGTGGTGTGCGACGTCATCAGCTCTCCGGTGCCGATGGTCGTTTGGTACTACCAGGACAAAGAGATCACCCAGGAGCACCAAAGTAAGTCTCTTTTTGTCTCCATCTCTCTGCCCTTTTCTCTAAATCTCCCTTTGACCAGTGTTGCTAGATGAAGTTGAGGTTTTGTAGCCCAAATATCTGTTAAAAACCGCAACATCACAACAACCGCCCAATTAATATTTTTCTATATTTACTGTGTAAATATGAATACACTTCAGCACAACTTAATTCAACACTACATGTCAAACCAAAACACTACGATCCAATAAAATACATGCTCTGACTTTACTTTGTTTACAAGTAAAAAAAAAAAAAAACAAACACAAGAAAAGCTTATGGGTTCTCCATATTTGGTTAGCAAGCATAATTTAAAATGAGGCCGAGAGTCTGTATCTGCTAACAACAGGCATCAGCGGAAATGAAAGTGAACTTAATTTCCTAGAAAAACTGTAGCAGCCCGTCGCCTACAGCTCTTCATTTTACCGTTCATAGCGACTCCTCCTCAGTCAGTGACAGCTTTAAATATTTATGTATATTTGTTGATGCATTTTTAAACGATCACTAAAGTGTGACGACCTTTTTAGCTGTATTGAATTAATTAAATGCCAAGAGACCAATCTAGAGCTGCAACAGTTAGAGAGGTGCTGAATCACATTACTTCTCATGTCTGATGATGCTTTTTCCCAGGATTATTCCCACAAACAGTTGATCCTTTTTTTTTAATCGTCGATATTATAGCAATCATTTTTAAATAGTTTTTTTATTTAACAATTCAAGTGTAATTTGGATGAGAGAAACTGATCAGAACGCCAGGCAGGGACACCTTCCAATTGTGTCTAATTTCCTTTTCTTTACAACTTTCTCTCTTATCATCATCATCAAAGAGTATAGTAAAGGACTAGTCCTCCATTTTATAAGCGTAACCAAATTTTTTATACACTAAATCTTAATAAACGCAAATTGCATCTGAAAGCCTGACCCAACCGTCCTGCATGACATTAAGCCTGGACTTTTGGTGAGTCCAGACTCCTTTCTATCTAACGATATTTCCAAATAAATTGGAAATAAATGCTTCTCCATGTTTGTTTCTAGTTCTGTATGTACAGAGTAAACTGGAACTATAGGACCTGTGTTTTCTGAGAGGTTGACCCACTGACAACATACACTATATTGCCAAAAGTATTTGCTCACCTGCCTTGACTCACATATGAGCTTAAGTGACATCCCGTTCCTAATCCATAGGGTTCAATATGACGTCGGTCCACCCTTTGCAGCTAGAACAGCTTCAACTCTTCTGGGAAGGCTGTCCACAAGGTTTAGGAGTGTGTTTATGGGAATTTTTGACCATTCTTCCAGAAGCGCATTTGTGAGGTCGCACACTGATGTTGGACGAGAAGGCCTGGCTCTCAGTCTCCGCTCTAATTCATCCCAAAGGTGTTCTATCGGGTTGAGGTCAGGACTCTGTGCAGGCCAGTCAAGTTCATCCACACCAGACTCTGTCATCCATGTCTTTATGGACCTTGCTTTGTGCACTGGTGCACAGTCATGTTGGAAGAGGAAGGGGCCAGCTCCAAACTGTTCCCACAAAGTTGGGAGCATGGAATTGTCCAAAATGTCTTGGTATGCTGAAGCATTCAGAGTTCCTTTCACTGGAACTAAGGGGCCAAGCCCAGCTCCTGAAAAACAACCTCACACCATAATCCCCCCTCCACCAAACTTTACACTTGGCACAATGCAGTCAGACAAGTACCGTTCTCCTGGCAACCGCCAAACCCAGACCCGTCCATCAGATTGCCAGATGGAGAAGCGCGATTCGTCACTCCAGAGAACGCGTCTCCACTGCTCTAGAGTCCAGTGGCGGCGTGCTTTACACCACCGCATCCGACGCTTTGCATTGCACTTGGTGATGTATGGCTTGGATGCAGCTGCTCGACCATGGAAACCCATTCCATGAAGCTCTCTGCGCACTGTTCTTGAGCTAATCTGAAGGCCACATGAAGTTTGGAGGTCTGTAGTGATTGACTCTGCAGAAAGTTGGCGACCTCTTCGCACTATGCGCGTCAGCATCCGCTGACCCCGCTCCGTCAGTTTACGTGGCCTACCACTTCGTGGCTGAGTTGCTGTCGTTCCCAAACACTTCCATTTTCTTATAATACAGCTGACAGTTGACTGTGGAATATTTAGGAGCGAGGAAATTTCACGACTGGATTTGTTGCACAGGTGGCATCCTATCACAGTTCCACGCTGGGATTCACTGAGCTCCTGAGAGCGACCCATTCTTTCACAAATGTTTGTAAAAACAGTCTGCATGCCTAGGTGCTTGAATTTATACACCTGTGGCCATGGAAGTGATTGGAACACCTGATTCCAATAATTTGGATGGGTGAGCAAATACTTTTGGCAATATAGTGTATGTTATATACTGAGCTGCTGATCTATTCAGTGATTTATAAACTAACAGAAGGGTTTTAAAGTCTCCTCTCTGAGCTACAGGGAGCCAGTGGAAGGACTTCAGAACTGGGCTGATGTGCTCTACTTTATTAGTTCTTTTTGACATATTCCCTTTGAAAAAGCTTTTTTCTCTCAATGGAACCACCTATTTTGATTCCTCTCAGACATTTTTAGACAATGGAGTTCCTGACAACTTTAAAAACCTCTCAAAGTTTAAACCTTTGTGATTCCAAGAAATAAATTGGGCAGTGGCGGCCTAGTGGTTAGGGCATTGCGCTTTGGGTCCCAGAGGTTCTGATTTCATGCCCCACTCCCTTGGACTGGTGCTCTGGGTCCCTGAGCAAGACCCTTAACCCCACACTGCTCCCGGGCGCCGCTCAATGGCAGCCTACTGCTCCCCAAGGGGATAAGTTAAATGCAAAGTGTTAATTTCATTGCTTTGTACGTGCTGTGACAGTGTAATGACAATAAAGTTGGATTCTATGCTATTCCAGGGTTCCCGCGGGTCCTTAAGTCTTAAAAGGCATTGAATTCTTCAAAATAAAACTAGGGCCTTAATTGGTATTAAAATGTCTTAAATCAGTCTTTCGTAGGTCTTATTATTTAAAACATCATAAATAGGATTATTTTTATTACCATTTATTTTTGTAATCTAAATAAAACATAAAAAGAAACATTTTTTTTTATTTAAAAAAAAAATTAACGGCTCGCCATTTTTGGTTCCGTCCCGATAGCGGAACCAATAAAAGTGTTGTTGCGGCCGGGACATTTGGGAGATGCGCCATTTACTTTTTGTCTGGAAAATATGAGCAAGTGTAAATGTAACGAAAATTGTCTCCAGCCAAGAGTTTTCTCCATGGCTAAAACCAGGGAACATACATGAGGCACAGTGTATTTAATGCAAGAAGTCATTAAAGCTCGGAACGATGGGAATTTAGGCAGTAGAGTCGCACATGAGAAGCACGTAACACAAAGCGTCAAAATGGAGTTACCGAGAAACAGCCAGTATTTCTCGGTTTTGTTCCACCCTTGTCTCTGCAACGCCTCCACTTATCACCAAATCCAACATACTAAGAAAACCATACAAAGAAAAATAGCTGCAAAAAAGACTTCCCTGCTAAAACAAAGTTTGTGAATTCAGTTAAATACTTACTAAATACTAAAATATATCTGTCATTTGTTTGTTTTTAGCTTTCTTCCTTTATGGAAGGTTTTTCAAAATTTGAAACATTAGTGCAGTGGTTTATGTTAAAATAAACATTTGGGTTAAGTTGTCGCAAGAAGGTTTTTTTTGTGTTTCTTGTAAATTTGGTCTTAAATTTTTATTTCAACTGGCATTAAAAAGTCTTAAAAAGTCTAGAATTTAAATTGTCTTATGCTGTAGGAACCTTGTATTCAAATTTTTTGGTCTTTCATTTAATAGCACTTTTGCTACTTTGCATAAAGAATTCAACATATGATTGTTAAACTATTGGCTGAGAATGAAATTTAAAAGTAACTTACCAGTTGGAAAAATAAAGCCGCTGCATTCTGCCTTAGACTACTTCTGCTAAATAACCCTTAAACAATCTGCACTTTTTTCCAGGCTGTCAATAAACAGTTTTATACCTTTTATAGGATTATATTCATTTTACAAACCTTTTTTTTCTGCTTGAAATGTTTTCATCCAGCGTACTAAAATGGAACTGTAACTTGCCAAGAAATGTACAACCCTGCAGAGAAAAGGCGGTCTTTTTCAGCATCTTATAATTTAGATCTACTATGGAAAAGCAGATAACCATGGAAATAACACAGAACAGTAACATAACAGTGCAGTTCACCAGTCTAACAATTTGGAAAATGAAAGTTTTAGAGACTTTCCAACACAAATCGAATTTTAATGCAGTAAATTCACTTGAATACCGAGTGAAGAAACGCTCAGAGCTGCGATCCTGTTATATCTTATTGAAAAGGACTGATAATGTTCCAGAAACACAGTTCTCTAGGAAATGCGTTTTCTTTCCTTTGTGCTGGATTCACAATGAGACAAGGATATAAAAATCTATGAATAGAAACCCACTGGAGGAGGCATCTAATTTGGACAGAGACCATGTTAACAAGCCTCTGAGAGGATGGATTATAGAGCTGCTGGATGGGTGACATTCAGCGACACTGTTTCCCTTAAGACTCCAGAAAAACACACAAAAAATACATATATATATATATATATATATATATATATATATATATATATATATATATATATATATATATATATATATATATATATATATATATATATATAAAGGAGAGAAATTGGTGTTTTTATCCTGTACCGCTGATTCTTCATGGAAGATTTCACAGTTTCATTGTCAATCCTCCTCTGTTCCCTTTAAGCAAAAGATGATTTATACCATTTATAGAGCTCTCCCTGGTAATCTCACCCTTTTTAGTTTTAACAGTGTTAAATATCAGGAGAACGGTGTACTTAATTTGTAAAAAAAAAAAAAGGGAAATGAAGGAAGAGAGGCACTCAAAGGAGAAATTCCTTTCCTGTAAAATCAGAACAAGCACATCCAACTCATCATTCCACCTTCCCTTCCTCCTTGATTTAAAACTCTCTCTTCCTTCTTTTAAGAGTAATGAAAGTGTGCAATCACTGATTGGACAGAGTGACCCTGTGAATCCTTGAATCTGTCACATTTTTTAATTGAAATTCAAATCTTCTGTGACGCTACAGTGATCAAACAGTCCATAAGATGCATTTTTCTTCGTTAATAATTTTGCCTTAATTGTGATGCCGGGGTATAAATACCTGCTAGAGCGAGGAGATAGAGGCCTCCGCAGTGCTGTCCAATATCGTGATGGCCCCGACAGTGCAGAGCTGTAAAGCATGAGTGTTTATCTGTGTGGACTTTATCAGGTAAATGAGCCGTGGTCCAGACTGACAGGCTAACCGCAGAGGAGTGGAAATGGCAATTTTCTTCTGCACTTTTTATTCCAGGAATTATCTTTCCGCCTTCTCTTTCTTACGCTGTTGTTCTGTTGTTCTTCCCCCTGCGTCTCCATCCGACCCGCAAAGGCAGGTTCCAGGTTCTGCCAAACAACAACCTGCAGATCCACCAGGTGAGCAAGGCGGACGAGGGCGTGTACCGCTGCGAGGCCAGCGTGGAGGCCCGAGGCGAGATCGACTTTGTAGACATAGCCGTGGTCGTCAACGGTGAGTCAATACTTTCTTTTTACGCCATTTGCTCTCTACGGGGCTACTTTTTTGTGATATTGTCATTTTTCATTTTATAAATATTTAGATTTATCTTTTTTTGTTTGTTTCAAAAGGGACCATATATAATTAAAACATAAATTATATAATTATAAAAATAGCATAATTAAAATCATGAACTTGAAATAAGATAATAGATTTGGTCTTTCCTGTTTTGGACATAAATTATCTCTTTTAATCATTAAATGTTTTTTTTTTTTTTACCCCTGCTTAGATCAATGGAAAATAAACATATTTTTGTAGGTTCATGCTGGCTATTGTATGTGTATCTTCTGAATAGTTAAGCCTGAGGAAGAAATTTAGAGATAAAAAGCAGAAGTATAGCTGCTTTTTACAGGCTTTATCAGTCAACAGGTCTGTAATGCACCAGTGAGATGATGGACTGGCCTCTGCTTTGATCATGCTGGCCTAGTGTTGACGGTCAATTTGTTGTTGCAAAGCTCATTTTAAAAGTGTTTCCTCATCAGCTTAAGGCAAAAAGATCCTTTCATTTCCTTTGATGTATTCAAACTGATTCATTATTTTTGCTTAATCAATAGGCTGAACCGGATAGCATTAGAGAAGACTCTGTACTATAATGCATAGGTCAATAACGTACCCTTGATATGGATCATGTGAAGCCTGTAGGTGTGGTTGAAAAAAATATTATTGGCTTTTCAATTGCATTTGAGTGCAATCTGGTGTTTGGAGGGAAAATCATATGTATTTCAAGAGAACAAGGGTTATTAAAGTTCATCCAAATACATTTTCCATAACGCTGTTGGAATAAGTTATTTTAAAACCAAAAAAATGTATTTTTTTTACAGCTGGTCTTTGTCTGCCAGATACACATAAACCGACAAAATCATGCATCTAGATTCCCAGCACACATTTGCTCCTCTTCATGCAGTGCCTGCAGATTACCATGCAACAGGGGCTGGGTCCCACACTGTTTATCTTTTTTTGTTTGTTGTATTTCTAGGGAACAACCCTGAGAATCTTGTCTAAAGAAACCAAAGAAAGAAGTTCAATTTGTACTAATAATAATAATCAAATTAATCAAATATTATAATCTGTCAAGATTTAATCAGGTACTAAAACAAGGGTTCCCAAAGCGGGGGTTAGGACCCCCTGGGGGGCTGAGAAACACCTACTTGAGGTCTCAAGATGGTTTTCTTAATTATTATGATGTGATCCATGAGGAAGATGGAAAAATCCTTATGAATAAATGTAGATGAATTTACCACGAATTAATAAGACGTTACACTTCTTTAAAGAGATGGTATCTATGGAAGAGGATTAGGACCACTGGAAAAAGACAAAAGAAAAATTAACAGCTTTTGTACAGTTTGCAGAGAAATTTTGCGTGTTTCATAATCTGTTTTAGCCGGAATGTCAGGGTGATACTTGGAAATGAGCTTTTATCATATTGTTTTTTTGAAAGGTTACAGACCCCTGATCTAGACTCTGGTCAATCACTGTAAAACGACTCCACCTGATAAGCTCTGACTCCTCTAGACATCCCTGTCAGCTCTCAATAGACCTGTCAGCTGATACAGATTCAGCTGCATTCACCTGGATAAACTCAGTTTCTGGTCTTTAAGCTCCTATTAATGCAACTTTTCTCTCCTCTTTATTCTCTAATGCGGCTGAAAAGTTAAGTTAGTGATGGGGCTGGGTTTCGTGGTCCAGAAATCAAAGGATGTAATTTTAATTTGCCCATTTGTTCTCATTCACAGTGAGTCACCTGAGACTGCCTGCTTGATTGAAATGTGATCTCACTAAAGCCACCGGCGTCTTGTAATGCTTGAACAGCTGCAATATTGTCTCTGCCTATGTAATTCTCTCACTTAATGTAATAGCAGAGCGGGCTGCAGCCCAAAAAAAGTATGAATTGCATTTAATTTAGCACACCACTTACCTCACTTCTGTGGAAGATCCAATAAGCCTGCTCAATGAGGCGCAGCCCATTATTGCAGTGATGCAACACTTGCCATGTGGCGCTGGGATGGGACAGGCTGCGCGGGGATTTGCTGAGCTTGCGCTCTCACAGATCCTCCACCACGCAGACACACTTGATAAACTCCACTCCGCCTCAGGAAGAAATCTTCCGCTCGCTCTGTCTTAGAGGATGTTCAGCCCCAAGCTGATTTGTTTAAACACCATTTGGGCCTCGTGACGGAGTACTAACTGTAAGCTGAAACAGTATAAAGCATGAAGTTTGTTTTGAAAACGTTGGATTTTGACAGATCCATCTGGGAACTTTTTCCAAGAAAACAACCATTTTTAAATGTGATATTATGGGATGCATAACACAAGAAAAAGGAGACAAAAAAGCAGGGATGCTCCTTTCTTCTTGCTTTGATCATCGCATCCTTTCTAATCCATCAGGAGGCCTTGGATTCATCTTTTGCTGGATTAAATTTGACTGTAAGGTTGATCTATGATGAATGCAGAATAAGAATATAAAGTAGGATTTATTATTTTATTTTAAGTCCACCCCTACCCCATATATTAATAAAAGAAAATGTTTTTTTTTTCTCTATTTGTATCTACATTTATGAAAAAAATATAGTATATTAGAATGTTTACTTTAAATATTTATTGTAGAATGATATTTAAGTCAGATTTATTTATAATCACAATAATTATAGTTTTTTTATTTGATTTTTTTTAACTTATTTTTATATCTACTTTCATTATGATTTAGCTGAATAAAATTAAGCTTCACATAATAATGCTATAAAATATAGATTAAGAAATATAGATTAAAGTACATTTTTTATTATAATTAACCAAATTACAGTTCGTTTTAATTTATAAAAACAATATATATTTTTTTCATTATAAAAAAGAATAAATGTTTAAAAACTTATTTTTTAACTCTCCATTTTTTTCTTTCATTTTTGTGCTTTTTTTTCTAGATTTAGATTTGTAAGATTTTGACTGGAAAGCAAAAGCTTTGAGAGAATATTCTTTAATAAATAGGTTCCTTACTTTTGCACAGAGCTGTCAAGTTTTGGATTTGAATATAAGAAAAAAAATTTGACATCCGCTGCAAACCATCTGGCTATCCCAGTCTAGCTCTAATATCCATTATATTTTAAAACATTTGCACAAGATCTAAAACAAACACTTGTCGACCAATTCCAAACTACAATTAGGTGATCAAATTTTGACTACCAAGGCTAGCGACGGCGAATAAGGGAGGATAACAGGAAAGAGGGGGTAAAATAGGTGCTTTTTTCCCAGACTTGACAGCTGTGCCATTTGCAGACCCTTACATGAACCACCTGTCATCTTGACTTCAGAGCAGCTGTGAGGTAAAGTGAATCTGATAATCAGCAAACAAAGTTAATCTCTAGTAAATCATTGGTAAATTTTGCTGAATAATCAGTTTGGTTACCTGAAGAAAGCTGGAGAAAGAGATAGTCAAACAATCCAGAGGTAAACACTTCCTATATAGCTCTACATAGTAATCTCCAATTTCTACTTATCATTTAGGGAGTAGATGGATTCTTAGTCCCATAGATTAAGTGTTTTAGTGCAAACTTTGGGAATAAACATCAAAAACAAGCGACAACAACCGTTGGAAGAAGCTGACTAAGAATGGAAACAAAGGGTCATAATCCACCATTAAATAAGTCCTGTACTGTCATGGACTTAGATGGGGCAACAAAAAAAAGGCATCGATCTATTTTCTCCCTCTTAGTCCTTGTCAGGGTCGAGGTTGGGCCGGTGCCTATCGGCAGTCTACGGGCGAGAGGCCGGCTACACCCTAGACAGGTTGCCAGTCTGTCACAGGACAACACAAAGACACACAACCATGCACACACACTTAAACCTAGGGACAATTTAGAGAAACCAATTGAATTTACAGCCATGTTTCTCTTTGGAAGCTAGAGTACCCAGAGAGAACACACGCATGGACGGGGAGAACATGCAAATATCATGATTTTAACACTGATGGCTGGCTTGATTGCTAATTTCCTTCACCTGTCTAGTTCCTCATCAAATTCACGTGTTCAGGTTTCCTATTTAAGCTACCTGTTTCCCAGCCAACAGTGCCAGATTATTCTTGAGCCTTTGGTCAAGAGAGGTTTCTAGCCTACTTAGTGTTTTGATTATCTAATCCTGACCCATTTTTGCTATTGGACCTTTGAGCTTTCCTGCCCTCAGTCTCATTAGTTTTGCCTACCTGTCTCCAGTCTCGTGTCAGCTCTGCAGTTTTCCACATCTGGAACTCTCTGGCAGCACCAGCTGCTTCTGTTCAGTCGACTGGCTGATACAATCCCCGTGTTTTGGACACTGGACTCAGTTGTAAAACCACAGCTTTAGTCATAGATGCCCCAGCCACTATTACCGCTGATCCACAACCAGCTCCTGTTTTTTTTGATGAACACCATTAAGTATTGTCTGTCTCACCTGAATTCTGGGTCCCTCTGTCCTGCTTCATGTCAGCAAACCCCTTGCAGTAAGACCAAATACAACCATCGAAAGCCCAGATTACAGTTTCCAAAATGCAGTCAGGGACAAATAACCTTCGTTGGATTGAACTAAAATGCTCTTATTTCAGAAAATGTCTGCTTTCAACTTAATATGTGTCCAGAATTAGATCTGGTGCTTGACGGAACGAAGATCCATCCTGCCTACAGCTATCAACAACTATAACAACAGATCAAGATCTACCCATGAGTTACTGCAACATTTAAATCCCCTTAAGGATTAGGAAAATATGTTATAATTGAATGAAATTGAATGGTGTTATATAATCATTAGCCAATAATTTATGGTACTTCAACCATTTTAAAAATGTTTATTTTGCTGTAAGCTTTAATTTATGCTGTAACTTTTTGATGAGTTTGATTTTCCCAATTTACCATTTCCCATCAGAACCCTAAGCTCATTGGTTGTATATAGGGGATGATTCAGGGTGTCGAAATGACATTGCTCACATTAGT